GTAGAGGCAAAGAGAAGATAGATATACCATTCCTAGACAAGTGTGGTCTTTCTAGGATTTTTTTTTTCCACAGGCTAGAACCAATGGCTAGAACCTTACTGTAGGTTAATGCTCCAAAAAGGTTTCTCAATCTTGACTACCTTAACATGTATAGACTTCAATTCTGGGCAAACATGGGAATCAAATCCTGTTGGCTGGGGAGTTCTGAGAGTTGAAATCCATAAAGTTTAAAGTTGCCAAAGTTTTGACAATAGGGTTGATGTGGGGAAATGATTTTATTAAAACTACCTTGCCTAAGACACTGTTTCCACACAACATGCTTGGTAAAGCTATGCAGATCTTTAACAATAATAAAGCTTTGATTAAGCATATACAGTCACATCTAGTGTTACATTCTTTTCCTTATAGCTCAGATCTTTATTTAAAGTTCTGACATAGCCAGGAAAAGTCCAGGAGTGCAATTAAGTATCTAGCACTACTTGCTGATGAAATTGTTGTAATGAATAACTAGGGCTGAGGAAATATATAAATAGCTGATAGATTACAGTTATCAGTTGCACAAATCTGGTTCAAATATGAGTAACTGTTTAGAATCAGGAGAGTATCCTTTTAATGGTGTCTTGCCCATAAACCTAAAGGTTGTTTAATTCATTATTGGATGTTGCACATTTGGATTGCTAAAATATGTATGATTGCTTATTATTATTAGTCGCAAAGTTGTGTCTGACCCATCGCGACCCCATTGGACAACACTCCTTCAGGCCTTCCAGAGAGAGAGAGAGAGAGAGGGAGGGAGGGAGAGAGAGAGAGAGAGAGGCTTGGATTAATTGCTTTGGGGGGGTGCTTTGGGGATGACATTTCTCTCTAGACCAAAATTTTCTCACCGACCACCAGTGGTCCCTGGCCCACTGGTTGGCAATCACTGCTCTAGTCAGTGGTTAAGGTGCCAGGCTAGAAACTATGAGATCATGAGTTCTAGAGGCACTAGGTACAAAGTCAGTTGGGTGACTTTGGGCTAGTCATTCATCTTCTTTCAGCCCTAGGAAGGAGGCAAGTGCAAACCACATCCGAAATCTTGCCAAGAAAACTGCAAGACCTTGTCACCAGGAGTACAAACAATAAAACCAGACTTGAAAAAACCAAAACAGAGTAACAGTTATTTGCTTCCATCTAGTGGCCATCAAGTAGGATGTTCCTAAGGTGCTTTTTCAAAAGCAATTGAATTCCCCCCTCCCCCAATCAAGTAGGACGATGTGTTAACTCATTTCTCCAGAGGAGGTCCTCAGCAAAACCAGCTTTAAAATTGTATATGTGTTTTGGCATCACTAATACCACATTGGGTATCTCTGAAGATCTCATTTTCCTATTATCACATAGCGAATCCTCTGAAACCTTGATCCGCAAACCCAACAACATTAGAGACACCATATCTGAATTGCTAATATAAGAATAACACTTAGATGAAGTTTTGTGTGCCTCTTTGCTGCTATTTACTGATTATCTGGATCTTTTCAGCCCAGATCTGGTATCACTATTTAATTACAACATTGCTTCACAGGTTTCCATATATAGATTCTGCATAAGACATTTAACAGGACAACTGCTTATCATTTATATATATATATTCCATTTTCTTTTGTCAATAATTCTCAGATCTACAGCGCATATCTAATAATACTTAAATTCAAGTTAATTGATAATCTTAGGTCAAGTGCGACTTTTTTATTGGATCTTCTTTCACTTCTGGAATCAATCCATTCCTCCTCAACCCTGATTTTTTTTTGATTAAATGAGATTACTTACCAAAGGTCCTTATAGGTGGATATAAGATTGTATTGTAAATACAGCTTTATATACCTGTTGCTATTGTAAGAACCTACATGCTATTTTATAAAAGCGAATCAAAGGAATTTTGAAATGTAATGAATTTAATCAGTTACATTAACCTCTTCTATCACTTGATAGAAGATTTGATTTGAATCAACAGTATTGATACCTAGAAAAATAAGTATTCATATAATTTCTTTGTATCACAATAACACATCAAATAACTGAGAAAAATTATTCCAATTTATTAATTTCCCAAATATAAGTTAGTTACCTAAAACCTAAATGAATCTTTAAGTTAAATCACAAATATTTGGGTCTTAATCATTTTTTAAAATAATAAAAGGAGAGAAGACTACCTTTTAGTAAAACATGTATTAAAATTCCTTTTAACTTTCATATCAAGAATAAAGTCATATATTACTCCCTCTTTTCTAACTTTTTCTGTTTTGGCCATTTGTATCACTAAGATGTCAATACTTATCAATGAAAAAGAATAGCTCATTTCGCACTAGTCTTGGCATTTCAGCATAATTATACCAATTTTTTTAAAACTATCATCTTGCAATATAGTCAGATGTTTAAAGAAAAACTCCTCTTAAGTCTGGATATATTTGTACCTCTAAGGACACAGTTCTAAGAATAAAGGTTGATCTGTGAAAACAGTGGCATTGCAAACCAAATATTAATGGTTTAATTAGAGATGCATAAGAATGAGAAGTCTGTGTTTGTCCATCTAACAGAAATATGAAATTAAAGAGAAAATGCAATGAGTTAATTATAATAAAAATCCTATATTAATTAAAAGTATTTCTAGCTATGGATTATGACAAAGAATTCAGCAGGAGATAAATTTATATAAATAAGTCATATAATGTATTGGAACCTTGTTTGTAATTCGTAATACTACTATTCACAACTTCATTATTGGCATATTGAGAAATGAGCATAACTTTCATTGATATGGCTGGAGTCCAATTTTATTAGTATGACCATTTATATACTTCTAGTCTTCCCTATGCCATTCATTACTTAGATACTTCATTTATTATGTAGTTTGTATACTTGAAACATAAATACATGCTGAGGTACAACGATGTAGTATCTGCCAATCAAAGATACAATGTTCATTCTCATAGCATGTATACATTACTTCAGATGCTGATAGCATCTAAATCAGAGGTGGTATTCAGCAGGTTCTGATCAGTTCTGGAGAACCGGTACCGGAAATTTTGAATAGTTCAGAGAACCGGCAAATACCAGCTCTGATTGGAGATTTTACAGTATCCTTCCCCTGCCACGCCCACCAAGCCATGCCCACAGAACCAGTAGTAAAAATTTCTGAATCCCATCACTGATCTAAATGGGGTCTCCTTTGGTCATTCTAAACATGCTGCAGAAATGTGCTGATCCAACTTTGATTCTGTGCTACTTTTTACCTGCAGGAATGAATCTGTAACTTTTAATGGTTTTCTGAAAGGACAGTGAATTAGGAAATAAATATTTCTATTTCCATCTCTATTTTTCTTTTGCTTCGGGAGATAACACTACATATTTAAACTTCCTGGAAGCTATGCAGGGTTAGCACAGAGGAACTAGGAATGGACTATTTAGGAATTCCAAAGACTGCCTACAAAAAAAAAAAAATCAGTGGAAAAAAACATTTCCATAACATTGCCAAGAAAATTATAGCAGGCAAATGGAAGTCAGGTTCAGTCTGAGTGTGCCTTTCTCCCTTACATGCCTCCTCCTAGTTTTAGCCTGCTGTAGTGAGATAGCTGCATCCATAATAGCTGAAATACCATTGCTGATTTCCTCTATATAGAAAAGTTTCTCTCCTCTAAGGAATAATGATTAGTTAAACTGTGGAAATATACTTCGAAGTCCAAATACTTATATCTAAAAAATAACTTCATACTGATTTTAAAACAAGTTCAAGACTACAATATTACAATACTACAAAATTATTGCATGAAATAATCACATTTTATTTATTTGGAATTTATGATCTGACATATTATTCATCGTTATTTAAAGTTGGTTTTTTTCAATATTCCAAGTCTGTCCAAGTGCAGGAAAATGATAAATAAGCTTTATTAAGAGCCTGTATCTCAACTCTTAAAAATTCTAATGATTCATATTCAATTTATTTAATTATTAAATTTATCTGCCATTATCTTGCTGTGGGGACTACTCTAGGCAATAATACAATAATAAAAAGAAAGGAAAATGAAAAGTGTGTAAACAGTGGTAAAATAATAGAACAATAAAATAAACAATGACAATGAGAATAAATACATCAATGTGATAACTAAGAAAAGGGGGAGGATTTTAAATATGTTTGTTTATATTTTTTATGTGAACAAAACCAATTTAGCTCTATTTTGGCAACTGAATAGAAAGTGTACTTAACTGGCTAGTTGGGTTCCTAATAACATATGATCAAACATTTTACAACATGCTTTATTTGTACCAGTCACAGATTATCTTATCTAAATATTCATTCTGACTGTAATACTAATCAAACCTTATTGTACCTCCTAGGTAGAATCTCATTTGCCCTGCTAAGGGAATTATGCTTCAGGTAGGGTTAACTTATTTGGTCAATGTCTAGTTCTCAGCTGTAAAAAATCAACTTGAGGTAGATGAAATATGCTTGGAAACACAATCATTTCCTTTTTATATAAACATACAACTGAGAATTAGATCAAAAGCTTCTTAAAATTTGTACACAATTTATTTTTTTGCAATTGTGAATATACTATATTTATCAACGAAACCCATGTTTCTAGAGATAAACTTATTTGTGTCTGTTAAGCATCTATCACAGTTCGTGGCATTCAATTGAGTGTCCTCACACCCATGTGCATAATGGATTATGAGCCCTTTATTATTATCTGCTGGAGTTGCATTATACTATATATCTGAAACTCAGACCCAGGTTTTGCTTTAATTCAAGTTGATAATATACCTTTGAAAAACAGCACAACTCCAACAGGAACCAAACAGTTAGATAGGGATTATGCATAAAAGTTACATCAATTCAAAACTTAAATCAATTAAATCAGTCCATTGCAAGTATACATTTTTGTAACAGATTTATACATTTTGTAACAGAAATATTTTTTTCTTAATAATCTGACATAATTAAACATATTTTAATAAATACATTTGTAACAAAAATAAATGTTTATATAACTATAGCATTACTTCAATTTATACATTTTAGTAAATCAATTTCTTTGCAGCGATTAAAGTATTCTTCAGGAGCATGGCAACTGTCATTGGTCCTACACCTCCTGGGACAGGGGTGATAAAACCAGCTTTCTTCTTTACTTCTGATATTTTGGGGAAAAAAAGGAAAAACTGTGTAAAAAACATGTATTAAAATATGTGTATTAAAATGCAATCCACCCCCAACAATGGACAACAATATTTTCATAGGTTGTTTTTGGGAAGCATCTAGATCTAGTGGAATAGCAAGATTTTTTTTAAAGACACATAAATCCAATACTCTGGTTTTCCAGTTCTAGCATATGGTTCTTGTTACAAAGAGTCTCAAATAAAATAGGAATTAATAGAAACCAATGAAATTATATTAAAGTATAAGCCAATTCAAGCTTGATTCAGACACATCGGTGTTCCTTTATCAGAATGTGAGGGTTTCTCCCACTGGCTGAATAGTTTTATATTAATCTCAGGGTTCATGCATGCAGATTTACATTCATGTGACCGCGTATAATCTGTTTTCAGCAATAGGAGGCATCAAACAAGCAACATGGTGATTCAAAGCATCATAAATCCTATCACTTTTGTATAAAAAAAGGACCAGGGCTCAACATCACAATCACCACCTTGCCTGTTTTAACATCCCCTATGGATGTCATTGCCTCTTACTATTTTATTCATTTTTTATTCATATACCTGGGAAATGGTTGAATTCTTTTTTTAACCTCAGATTTATAATATCTGAAATAAATTATAGCTCCTGTTCCTTCATTGACAATGGGAACAATATATTATTTGCTGAGTTTCCTGAAACCAAAGCTATACTTACTTATTATAAAAACGGCAAAAAAATGAAGAATTTTCATTAAATTTCAAAAACATTGCTCCAATCCAAATTAAAAAAAAACAAATCAACAAATGTAGTAGTGTTGATGAAATATAGGATAAAAATTAGGCACTGAATTAATGGAATGACACAATATTTTAAAATATATTTCTATCAATTGACTTATTCTCCCTTCAATAAATATAGTTCACCCAAACTTCTGGATCCTTAAACAAAAGCTCCGATGTCTTCCCTAACTACATTCATAAGGGTGGGGTGGGGTGGGGACTAATGAAATAATGAAGGGATAAGGCTCATAGGAAGTTGGAAGACCTCCAATCTATAATTATATTTCTTTCATTAGAAATTGATCTGACAGATAACATTGTAATTGGGTTCAAATTAGACTGTTATCCAAATTATACATTTCTTTGACACCAAGGAAGTATGGCCGCCCATCAAGTTTAGATAGTCAAGCATCTATTTTATATTGTATTTTCTTTTTTCTCTAAATACAACTTAGCATTTTATTTAATTTCAGAGCATATGTTTCAAGGTTTAAGAAACTGTCTTGTTCTATTTAAGAATTTCACCCTGGGGGAATAATATTATCATTTTGCAAATCCCTCAGAAATTTCAGTGCTTTCAACTTTCAAAAGAAATGAAATTCATCTTTAATAAACAGAATCCTCTGCACAACATCATCTTCATTTTTATAACTCCTTAAAGACCCAAATTGGATTTATCATTCCACAAAATTATTCAAAAATAATTTAATAAGAGTATTATTTTGTTTTTCGAACTAAATATTTTGCAAACATAAGGCACCTTTAACATTATGTATTAATAACTTCAGGATTATTTTACCCAAATAATAAATTTAATAGAAATGACTTTCAATTATATATTTTATTTTCATAGCTAAAAATTTTGAGTATAACCTCAAAATACAGGTAAATTAATATAGAATGTTTATGTACATGTAAACCATAAGCTATATTATTTATTAATTAAATGTTTATGCCACTCATCTCACTGATAAAGCCATTATAAAGTTAATACAATAGTTTACTTACAACAGTTTGTTTAGTGACTGTTCAAAGTGATAATGGCACTGAAAAAAAAAATCAGATGCTTGGCAACTGACCCATATTTATGATGATTGCAGTGTCCTGGGATCAAAGTCAATGGGGAAGACAGATTCACTTAGCATCTTTGTGCTAACAAAGGTTGCAAAATGGAGCAAAACTCGTTTAACAAATGTCTCGCCTTAGCAATATTTGTGGTTGTAAGTTGAGAACTACCTGTATATCATTAAATATCTGATTATGTAAGAGAAGTCTGCTAAATTAAGAACTATTAATATGTGTAATTAAATACAATGGAGACAAACAATTTATAAAAGTAATGTCTTGATTCCAATGTAAATTATAAAATATATATCCATAACAGGCAGAGGAACCTTTATGCACAGATTGAAGGCTTAGACTAGAGGTGGGGGACTATGGCCCTTTTATGACTTATGGACTTTAACTCCCGGAATTCCTGAGCCATCCATGCTGGAGTCAAATTCTGGGAGTCCAAGTGGAATTCTGGGAGTCAAAGTGGAATTCTGGGAGTCAAAGAGACTGGTGCCCCCAGCTTAAGACTTATGAAAGATTGCAGGGAAGGCGGAATGTTCAACTAAATTTTAATTATATACTTAGTGTTAAGCATTTAAATTTCTTCTTCTGGAAATAAAGCTCAAAACTGATTATTTATTTCTCTAATTAAAAATATTTTGCATTTCTAAGAGCATAGGAATTTGGCTTACCTTCAAAGTCTACATCTCCTACTAACTTTGTCTTTCCAGTGACAGGATCATTAATATGGTTGATACCAACATCAATCACTGCGGCTCCTCTTTTAATCATATCAGAAGTAATTAATTTTGGAATACCTGAAACCATCAGTGTAATTAAGTTTACAGAACCGAAGTGTTTCTCAGGAAATACTATATAAATAAATATAAAAAAAGAGACAGACATCACAATCTCCGGAACTTAAACTGTATTATCCACTTAGCTTTTGTTAGCCTCTGTTAACATCGTCAGAGTGTAAAAACTACCATTGAAGAGATATTCGCCTTTATGCAGCAGTGATCAATTTAGCCATTGCACGTATAATAGGCCCATCCACTCGCCTCCCACCTGTGATTAGCTCTATCATTTTTACTTCACACATGTTAAGCAATGGAAGCTTAACTCCTATTGCACCACATTTAGGTTGCTCATCTCTAGAAATTGGTGCTGAACTGTCAGCTATTATTTTGATGGCATTCTTTCCAACTCTCTCCCTCACACTAACGGAACTCTGCCTCACAGGCACATTTGATATATCAACCAGGTTCATTTGTTGTTTTGCCCATGATCTTGTCCATGTGTATTATGGCTTGAGGCAGCTTTGCCGGGCTCCTCTGTATTCAGCCTGGACTGGCTATGCCTTCACAGGACAAATCTACATGCCCCAAAGGGGGAGGGGGGGTAGCGTCAGTCCCTACTCCCCGGTGGGAAATGGTCTCTGCTCATCCTTAGCCTTTACTGTATGTCAGGGAGCATTGGAAATGACAGTCAGGTGGCCACAGCTGACTGCTGCAATGAAGCGGTGCTGAAGCAGCAATAGCACAGCAACAGGGAAGCAGCCACAGCTTTCATATTTTTCATATCCATGGGAGTAACAGGTCCTGGAATCCTGTAGGTTAACCCATTTGAGATACTTTTGCTCCAAATTTGTTGCCCTATGAAGATTACAGACAGACAGATACAAGACATTTAGCAATATATAGATAGTAATAAATCCTCTGCAAAAGCCATTTGCTAAGTCAGCTCTGCCAAGTTGAGATACTTTCTGAACTTTGAAACAGAAAATGTTTCAATCCTGAATACTTATAAAGACATTTTATTTATTTCATTTGTAAATCCATCCAATTCAACGTGAACTCTGGATGGCCAGTAATAACTATCAGATACAGAAAGTCTGAAATATTGAGAATATCATCATTTAAGATAGCCCAAAATATGTGAGAAAAGAACAGGTTTAGGAATTTTTTTTGAATGAAATCAGGATGGTGACTAGAAGGTAGGAGCAATGACAGAGAAGGATTTTCTGGATCCTACTAAAATATATTTTCAATGGGACCTGGAGCATGCTAAGATGGTCAAATTGAACAAGATAGAAAGATGTCAACTAGGCCCTGGAAGCTTCTCATGATAAAAACCTTTTTTAAAAAAAAAATCGTTAATGTATTGATGCTGTAAGATAGGTTTTTGCAATCTCATTTTTATAGCACAAGATTTTTGTTAACTGTTTCAAAATGTCTTACCAATATCAAAAATTGAAGGACTGACATAAGAAATTAAAAAGAGGATTCAAAAAGTTATCAAATTACTTCTATGAATTCATCTAAGGTTTATCCTAGTTTTTGTTAAAATAATTTCCAAAACAAAAAACTGTCCAATGCTATCAGAAGTACTTCTCTCTAGATATATATATTCTGTTTTACAATCACACTTTAAAAAAAAATCAACCTACAGTTATAAAGAACCAGAAAAATGCTGTACACTCCAAATATTTATAATTTGAAAAAATGTCATACTACTAATTTCTCACACTAGATAACTGGGTACTAAACATGAAAAAGTAACTGATTAAATAATACTAACTGAAATAGAATCCAAATGAGGAAAAAAGTAATGCTGGTTAATTATGGAGAATGGTTAGCTGAATATAGCTTGTGGTTGTATGCAGAACAGAACAGAAGAAAATAGTGGCACCCTGTCCATTTTATTACAAATTAAAAATATTGTTCAAAAGTTTTACTGAGATACATTTTGAAAATACTGCATCTAATTAGAAAGACCCAGGCTGGGAGATGGTATGTATGCACATATATTGTGTACTATTTATATGGAATATAAAGAACATGTTAAATAATTTACAACTTGTACAATTTGATAAGCACATTTGAAATTACAAACATTTGTAATAAACAGGGCTCACCTAGGACTGATTAGTTTAAGACAATTCCACATATCATGTCTCCCCTGTAGCACCTGACTATTCCTGAAGGCAACTTTAAACAATCCAGTCTGGACTGCAATGGTTTGACAACAGGGCCAGGTTTGGTCTACAAATTCTGACTGGTTGTTCCCTTTCTTTGAGCACTTTTGTCTGTGTAGGAAAGGCAAATAGCTATGGCTGACCACAGAGTGGGTGGATATTTGGTGCGTGATTAAGGGATTTCCACACTAGTCCTCATTTTGCTCTGCTTTTCCAGATGCATAGTTCTCATTAGTCCTTCCTTGTTATTCCTAATTCTTTTAATTTGCTTTCCAGATGTTTTCATACACGCATGCTTTCACAACTCTTTCCCATATTTCATTAATGTCAAATTAATGAATCCCCTTTTTTCTGTTCTTTCTTTTCTTCCACTGTTCCATTGCTGTAGTAATTCTAGAAAAATTAAAGCAAGGGGAACAGATTGTTCCTTCATTTTTATGTTCTACTATGGATCCAAGGAAACTTTGCAGCAAGGAAAACCTATGGTGTGTGCTTCATATAATTGAAATGGCATGTACTGACATTTCATTTCAATGTGCCTAATTGCAATATTTTTTTTAAAAAGGGAAGTTTTGCAGTACTGCGAGTAAGTGATGAGAAAGCAAGGGGAACAGGCTTCTCCAAGCCTGGATACAAACAAAAAGGGTACCCACAGAGAGACATAAATGCTAAATGAGCTTCTATAAGAAATAGGATGAGGCAAGTTCATTGGCTTAATGGACCATAATTTTGTTTTAAAAATGGCAGCTATCAACCACCAGAGCATACAGAAGTCTGGCAATTCAGTACAGAAGCAGCTGTTATTGGGCTGCTTGGAAACAGCAGGCAGGAGAGCCAATAGTGATGGGGCTAGGAGTGGGTAGAGGATGGCTACATCAGTTTCTATACTCAAGAACTAGAAGATGATCCATACCAGGGATTGGAGCAAGGACGAAGTGTAGATCTGCCCTGAAATTAAAATCTCTTCACTCAGCAATGAAGCTCTCCACTGAGTATGACCAGTTCTCATTTAAATATTCTTCACATGCCCATTTTGAGCCTCTGTGCATCCCATTTTTGGCCTATTCCAAGTAGCGAGGATCGCCGTTGCCGATAGCCACTGCTGATTGCCACCGCAATAGACATGGTGGCGGTGATCTGTGGTGATCGGCAATGGCGATCCCCACCATCTGAAATGGGTTGAAACGGGCATGCGGAGGCAGTGATAGGCAGCAGTAGAGATTGGTGACACGATCTCCACTGCCTAGAACTGCTGATTGGTGGAATTCTGGGAGTTGGATTGGCGATCCAACCACCAATCATCTGCTCGTGCTAAAGTTGATCAGGCTGTTTGTTGTTCGCTGCAAGTATGCTAGATGAATACCAATGGATGCTGAGAGATAGAGGCAGAATTTTTTTTCTTGTTTTCCTCCTCTAAAACTAATGTGTGTCTTATGGTCCAGAGTGTCTTATGTAGCAAAAAAATGTGGTAGTTTATAGTGCTTTTTCCCCCCAAAAGAGCTTTGTCAAATTGCCTATTTTTAAAAAATCAATACGAAAGCAAACCAAGAAAAACTAAAGGAAAATAGTAAATTGAGGTTGAGCTCCACAGCCATTTTAGATGTAATTGCATACTACTACATTTTTAAAATCTACACTGATTTTCCACATTATTTTAGAAAATTTTGTTTTAGCAAAAGCAGATTAAATTTTGAATTACAGAAACAGCATAATATTGATATTTAATTCCATTGTATGAATTTTAAAAATCTGATTATGTTCCTCACCTGCAGCAACTATCACAATGTCTGCAAGCTGGGTATGGATCATCAGCTGTTCTTTTGGCGTATATCTGTGAGTTATTGTCACAGTAGCATCACCTGTCACATACATAATAGTAAAAATTATTGCTGTTTCACAGCTATAATTAAAATTACCACCCTGATATAGATAAATGAAGGGTTTGCATTACAGGACTTTCTTTGATTTGTAATTCATTAGCAGCCACCAGGCCCTGGGCTGCACATATTTATTTTTAGAACCCAATTAAATAAAACTGCATAACCAATGATCCCAGGGCTGTGCCCTTCAAAAACCCTCCTCTAAATTGCTGTAGAGTACAAAGAAAGTACTAAACATTTGTAGAACATCTATGTCAATAGATATTTCATTTTGTGTTATTATTGCAATAAAAGGCATTCATTCATTTAAATGTCAATTAGATATAATCTTTGTTCCGACTGCCCTCTCTTTTGTTTCGTCTCCTTTGGGAATATAGCCCACAACATACCTTTCAAAGGTAGGGAGATCCCATTCTAAAATAACTTTGAAATATCATCTTTACTGATGCTTGCTCTCTTATGCTAAATAAGCCATCAGCTTACTTAAACAGCAGGAAATAGTGCCTGAGGTTGATAGTATGCTGACTGAAAGGGGACAATATTATTTTCATAAAAATTCCCAGAGATGTTATTGATCAACAGAAAATAGAAATCATGAAATGGAGTTCAGTTTGGCCTAGACGGGTTAGTTTCTCACCCTTACATTTTTGTTTCACAACCCTCAATCCAACTATGCAAGACATGAAAGTCTAGTCCAGGAGTATCTAACTTGATTTCATTGAGGCCTCCATCAGGATTGTGCTTGACCTTGAGGGGCCAAAGTGGGCATGGCCAGCTTCACATCACTTTTGTCGGGGTAGCCTGTGGGCTCTGCCAGCAAATATGGGCTCCCGAGCTCCATTTTTGGCCAGGATAGACTCCTGCAATCCTCTGCCACTGAAAACTGATCCCTCCCAGCTCCACTTTTGCTGGAAAAGGCACTGTAGGTGGGACATTCACCGCTTTCAAGGCAGCCCTGCGGCCCAGATCTAAGCACCCATGAGCCAGATGGAGCCCATGGGCCTTGAGTTTGACACTCCTGGTATAGTCTATAATACTTGGTATTCCTGGAAAGAATAACATAAAATGCTTTATGAAGGGCTACCAGATCTGGTCTATAAAAACCTGGATGTTCGTTAACTGGCAGCAGAACTGGAGTAATTTTTCTTTCTTTGCTGCCACCTTTATGTTGTCCAGATGAATACCAGGTTTTTCTATTCAATTGTATAGAATGCGAAGGAGGTGTGTTTTTGTTTCATTTTTTTATGTATCATGTATACTGAATATGGCATGTAATTTTGTTGTACGAGGTTCAATGACAATAAAGTAATAAAATACATTTTGCAAGATCTAGCTTTCTAGAAATTTTGCTCAGATCTTTTTTACACTGGACAGCAAAGACAGTCTCTATTAAACAATATTCTGCAAGAATAGCAATAAGCTTGAAGGAGAAGGGGTATCTGAAAAAATGACTAATTACTCATACTGTAATAAAAAAAGACTTAATGGGAGTCTTTATCATTTGGAAAGCTGGGAAGAAAGATGGAAAAAGTTGGACTGGTGTAAAGAGATTGCAGGGGAGTAGATGGGAGAACAAAACTGAAGTAAAAAAGACAGTGTAGAGAAAAGACAAGAGAAAATAAAAAGTACGCATTGATGGTCTTTGTGAAAAAGTGAATTATCATTTGGTGCATAAAGACAGATTTTTGTATTTCTAAACAAAAATATTTGTTTTCCCATGTTATTTTTAATGCAATATTATTGATAAAAAACCTTTTAGTCTTTTAAATAAGTGCAAAGCAGAATACAACCCCACTCCTTCAATCCTAAGAATTCTGGAAAAGATAAAAAGAAAAAGGCTATCACTACAAATTTATTGTTTATCAGCAGTGACAGTAGGATATTTATTCATTTACAAAATAAATTTATCCCCAAAGAAAATCTTATTTCTGATTAACTAAAACTGATTTTACTGCATATACAATAAGGAACAAGGTAGAGTTTTTTGTGGTTGTTTTCTTTCTCTCCCCGTTAAGGTTTCCAATAGAATCAAGTAAAATGTCCTTCAACCTACCTCCAGGCCTTTCATGTCCCCCATCAGTATGTAAAAGCATTGAAATGGGCATTCCAACATTTTTTGATCTTCCAACTACAACAACATTTCTTCCGAATGTTTGTATTCCTTAAAAAAAGCATAACTAAAACAGATGGAAGTTTGTGAAATTACATCTTTTGTTTTCCCATTGGGAAAAGACATGACTACATATTCATTTCCTTTTTCACCATGGAATTATGATAAGAGTAGTAGATTTAGGTTTTTACAGTTTTTATTATTACAAAAATTTTAATATGAGTTTTTGAAGATAATAGTTTACAAATAATAATCATAGTAGTTAACTGCAACTTTATTTTGTTCATTGTTAAAATTATTATTTTAAGTTTACTTTATATAAAAAACAAAATATGATCACTAAGGAGAAGATGGATACTATAACTAACATAGGATTAAGAAGAATAAACTGTGTTACTATGCCCAGGATAATTCAAGAAAGCTTATTCTATACTTGCTGTTCAGTTTTCATTTTCAAAAGAGTATCTATTTAAGTGAGCCCTCCCATTATTATTTCTGGAATTTAAAATCACAAAGATAGAAAGCATGTGTGCAAGAGAAAACTGAACACTTCACTAGAAGCACTTAGAAGAAATACTTCACTGCCATAAATTTCTATCTGGAGCAAATTATCTACCCGTAAATACCACAGCATCTTCCTTGTTATTCTTCTTGATAAATTATAATCCTGTAAAAAAACCTTGTGTGTGCCCGCGCGCGCACACACACACACACTCAAACACACGCACAGACCTCCTGCCTGTTTTTTAAAAAGGCTATATGGCTTGCTCCATTGTTTACTGTAATGGTTTCTTCTAAAAGTTAGTCGAAAGTAGAAATGATATCTAACCCTTTTCTTTGTTTCATGCAGGAAACACAAGAAGTCATATTGGAAATACTGTAGATAATCAACACTCTGCTTATACTTCAGAATGTTAAACAGTATTAGGATAGAAGCAGAACTACCACACATATTCACAGATAAGCTGAGAATTTTAGGAACCATCCCCAAAACTGGGTTTATCTAATTATAGACAGGCTTATCTGTGAATATATTTTTACGTTACTTATTACTTCTTTTTATCCAAGTGCAGTGCTCTCAAACTTACATTATAAGGCAGCCCAGATGAAATGCGGATAACATTTTCGGCCATGAAAATAATTTCCTTCTGAACAAGCAGACTGTTGGGGATATGTAAAACAACTAATGGGGCCAGTTTATTGAGAGAATCTCCCCAGGTAAATCTGCCCATTCTGTTAGTCTGGCAGAAAATATATTTTAAGAGTCTTAAACATTAAGGAACATCATTTGATAGGACCTAAGAAAAGATCCTTCTTTGCTGTGGCCCCTGCTCTTTGGAACAACTCCTGTCCAGGTTAGATTATCAATCACCCTGATGGCTTTCTGGCAGGGTCTTAAGAAATATCATCCTGCTGTATGAAACCTGTTGGTTAATTGTATTGTTAATAATTAATTGTATTCTTCTGCAAACTAGATTTATTAAATAAATAAAACTGTTTTTAATACAATTGTTTTAATGGGGTTTTAAGGGTTTTATTTTACTTTTAATTGTTGTTCTTAATTATGTAAACTGAGTAGAGTCACTTAGGTGAGATGTGTGGCAATATAAATTGAATAAATAACCAGTTCCAAGGACCAAATTCACTGATAATTTGAATGGGGAGAACAAACAGTAGTTTGCTAGTGCTATTCAACACATAATAAGAAAATAATGAAGAGCAGAAGAAAGTGAGATGATACAAAAAGGCTTGTGATATCTTAAAAAAAAAAAAACCACGACACTAGTATAGGACAAGTATTGGCAACCTGTGGCTCCAGAGCCTCATGTGGCTCTTTGGGCTCTTTGCTGCGGCTCCCTGTCCTACATTGGCTGGCCCCGCCTCTTCTCCTCTTCTCGTTGTCACTCCTCGGCTAAGAAGGGAAGGGCGACGGCAGCAGATGGAGACTCACTCCATATTCCAGAGCAGGAGTGAAGCACACCTCTATTTGCCTCTTCTTCCAAACTTTGTTGGTGCTGCATGCACCTTGGCTGCTAGGAGAGATGTGCGACTTTCTTTCTGCCGAGACACTGGCTGGCCTGGCTGTGGCTTTGTGCAGCACATTTAAATTTAACGCACTTCATAATGGGCAAGATGGCATCCCCTCCTCCTCCTGGAGCCCATTATGATGCGGAGCATCGGCTATAGCCAGCCTGGCCAGAGAAAAAGTTCTGTATCTCTCTGAGCAGCCGAGGTGCACACAGCACTAAGAAGGACTGGAAGAAGAGGCAAGTAGAGGGGTGCTTCGCACCTGCTCTGGAATATGGAGTGAGTCTCCATCTGCTGCCGCCACCCTTACCTTCTCAGAGGAGGGGAGGAGTGAGTGGGAGGGGAGGGTGAGGCTAGCCAGTGGTGGGTTCAGCCATCAGGGAGCAAGGGATGAAAGAAGTTCATTTATTTGGGAACCTGAAATGGCTTTTGATTTAAATCATATCGTAAAAAGCATCCAAAGAAGAAGAAAGAACATCAGCAAAAAACAACAAAAAACAACCCTTGCCTGTTTTTGGAAATGGTTCAAGAGGGAACACACACACAGAGACACACACACACACACACACACACACACACACACAAGAGGGGGGAGGTGGGAGGGAGAAAGAGATGAAAGGGAGAGAGAGGGAGAAAAAGAGAGATGAGAGAAGGATGAGAGACAAAAAGAGAAAGGTGAGAGATGGGGGAAGAGAAAGATGAGAAAGAAGGAGAAAGAGAGAGACAGAGATGAGAAAGAGAGAGGGAGGGAGAAGGAGAAAGAGGGAGAAAGGGAGAGAGAGAGAGAAAGAGACAGTGTGGCAGAAAATGAGTGGAGAGAGGAAAGAAAGAGAGAGGAAAGAGAGAGAGACAGAGAGATACCTGTTTCCCAGAGAAAAGAAAATATTGGGAGCTACAAAACCTGGGTAGGGGTGTCTGGGGGAGGTGTCATGTGACTGAGTGGGAGTAAGTGATATCAAGTGGGCCATGCCCACCCAGGTTTTTCTTTTCTTTGGGAAACAGAACAAATGGCTCTTTGAGTGTTTAAGGTTGCAGACCCCTGGTATAGGAGTCAAAGCCACAGCCCCTAAGTACAAACAAGTACTCAGTTAAGGTATAATAGTTTCAGAAATCTGAATGAGTTTGCAAACTAAGAAGAGCAAGATTTTTTTTTACATCAATTAAAAATAAAACGGAGAAAACAGAACCAATATATGGGCTGTCCAATGAAAACAGCAACATGTCAGAAAGAACAGGAAGAGCTGTTCAACTTATATTGATTTTTCTAACAAGAAAGTTCCAATTAAAAGAGCAGAATAAAAAGGCAAGAATAAAATTTTAGATTGATAGAAACATGGTCTGGGAATATCTAACAATTCTGAATCAGATTAAATTTCCACGATTGCAGTCTAGATATGATAGTATTAGCAGTGCTAATTGAATTTTAAAAGAAAACTATTTAATTCCTTAAACTATTTGAAAGAACAGTGCTCTAGTATTTTATGGTTTAAGCTTATACTTCTTTTTCTCAGAGAAATTTCCAGAATGCATTTAACCCCCATCTCCTTAAAATACTTGATTCAGTTACCAGTTCTCTTTATTATTTCCCAAACTGCAGCAGCAGTGGCAGGTATAATGGAGGGCTGGTCTAGACACAGTCGCCCGATATTGAAAATATGGAATCCATCCACATCCTTTTCACGAGCAACACTGTTGCACACAGTCCTTTCATCAATGTGATCTGGAAAAAAAAGAATTTTTCTATATTTAGTTCCTACTTTAAAATTCAGTTAGCCTAATAGTTGTTATTCATCTTGTTTATTTTGTTAAAGGTAAATGTAAATATATAAGGAGGTAATTTCATATGAAGTGTTAAGCCTCTGTAATGGGATTCCTTATTTTGATTCTACTGACTGGTCACATCTTAATTAAACCCAATGGGAATGGGTGAAAATGTGCATTTAATTCGCTCAGTAAAAAATACCACCTGTGAGAAGCCATTTCCCCTGTAATGGTCAAACTTTTCCACAGGACATGTTAGAAATTCCTCCTTTCTCCATCAGAAAGAGGACGTCTTTGATGTTCTAGTATGTAGGAAAAAAGCTCTTCTGTTCACAAGAATTTCTGAATCAAAAGATATCGCAAATGTTCTGTTTTTTTTCTTTTTCTTAAGAGAGAAATTTTTTTTAATTGCTTTAATAAAGCATTAGCAATCTAGTGTTATTTTCTGAAAAATGTAATGGAAAAAAAAGGATTCGTGTGGCTCTGTTAACTAAAAGCTTTTAAGATGTCCTCTTTCTGTTGGGGATTATGGGTTAGGAAAAGTGCTGTTCTGGTGATTTTTTCCCCATCTCCCCAAGAAATGGGACTAAAGAGGGGTGCGATATATCTATAATGATAGAGCTATGCATATCACTATAGATACAAATCTGCCTTAATCCCAGTCAAATCAGATCATAAAACATAGAGTAACAGAGTTGCAAGGGACCTTGGTGATCTTCTAGTCCAACCCCTGCTCAAGCAGGAGACCCTATACCTGTGATGGTGAAGCTATGGCATGCGTGCCACAGGTGGCATACAGAGCCATTTGTGCCGACACGCGAGCTGCAGGCAAACTTGCCTCACTGGCCATGTGCGCACCTCACAGCTGATTTTCGGCCAGTTTGAGGCCTTTTTTGGCCTCCCAAAGGCTTGAGGAAGGCTTCTGCAGGCTGAAAACTAGCCCCGTTTCATCACTCAGTTTTTCCGAAAATACTGGAAGTGACAAAACAGGGCTAGTTTTCAGCCTGCAGAAGCCTTCCTAAAGCCTTTGGGAGGCCAGAAAAGGCCTCAAACTGGCCAAAAATCAGCTGTGAAGCACAGTGCAGGTAAGGGGGCTACGGGGGTGGGTAGGGATTATGCACACATGTGTAGGGGGTGTGGGGTGGCGCACATTGCCTTCTGGGTGCTGGCACATGAGTGCAAGTGTGCAAGCGCACGCACAATTTTTGACACAGGAGCCAAAAAAAGGTTAGCCACTACTGCCCTATACCATTTCAGACAAGTGGCTGTCCAGTCTCTTCCTAAAAGCTTTCAGTGATGGAGCACCCACAACTTCTGAAGGCAAGCCATTCCACTGGCTCATTGTTCCCACCCTTAGGACATCTCTTCTTAGTTCTAGATTGGTTCTCTCCTTGATTAGTTTCTGGCCATAGTTTCTTGCCTTGCCTTCTGGTGCTTTGGAAAATATCTCAACTTTATGGTAGCCCCTCAAATATTGGAACAGGGCAATCATTGTCTCTCCTGGTCCTTTTTTTCACAAGACATAACCAATTCTTGCTACTGTTCTTAAATTTTAGCCTCCAGCCCCCTAACCATCCTTGTTGCTCTTCTCTGCACTCTCCCATTCTCAGTATTTTTTTTTTTTTGTATTGTGATGACTAAAATTGTATGCAGTTTTCCAAGTGTGTTCTTATTAAGACTTTGTAAAGCGGTAGTACTACTTCACATGTTCCTGATTCTATCATTCTGTTAATGCAGCCTAGGATTGCACTGATATTATTGGCTAATGTTGCATATCATTGGCTCATATTTAAGAGATTGTCCACTAGGATTCCAAGATTCATGTTACAGTTACTGGTATTAATCACATCAAGATCCCCCTCACAGTTACTGGTATTGTCATGACTTGATATTTTTTTTGATATGTATCATGTGCTTTGAAACTATTTTTAGGATGCGTTAGCTTAAAAACATAATACACAATTCAAATTACTCATTTTTAATAAGTTAATTGACAGTAAGAAATTCTGTGCTTCAAAACAAATCATTTTTAGAAATCTGTTAAATCATTGCATCTTTTTGATGAGAACATGCAAAGGCCAGGGGTGTTTCTTATAATCAGTGGAACAGCTTGTTCCAAATGTTTTGCATATATCAATATAAGTGAGTATAATGTAATTGTATAATCAATATTTGAAAGTAGCATAAATATCAGCTCTAATTTGGGGATAGGAAAGAGGGACAAAATGTATTTAATTTTTAAATGAGTATAAATGTTTAAAATAACGTTTCAAAGATACAATTCTTCTTAAGAAGCCTGCTTTAAATCCACTGGAGATGGCTACAAATCAGACTTTGATCTTCTGAAGGCAGATGAATATAAATTTATCTACAGATATTTCTAGACAGATTATTGTATCTTGAAACATTTCAGATTGGCTTTATTGAGGGCAATGCAGTTAAGACTTTCTTGGTTGGCTTGCTAGATGATGCCTGAGGATCAGCATAGGGAATTGGTAGTGGTTCTTCAGCAAGTTTTGACATCACTGACCATCACATCCTCCTTTCTGGATCACCTGGGAAGATCGATAATATATGCTCTTATATTGATTCCATTCCATTCTTTAGAAAGGTTTCAGAAGTTGTTAACTGGAAACAGTTGCAATTCAGATGTTATGGTACCAGGAATGCAAGGCCCTGCTTGAAGCATGAATGATTTAAAAGCCTTAACAGCCTCAAACAAAGCTCAGAAGACTCACAGGAAATTGTGTGAATGGAGAAAAAACTGGACTTGGAGAAAATGAAAGTTTTACTTGGGTGAGTTCAGCTGAGACAGAGAGAGAGACAAAGAGAGCTATCAGGACTCTCTTTGTTCTCTTTTTGCTTTCCTCCCCTCCACCCGCCAAAAAGTTCCCCAGTAAAAGCTGACAAATGATAAATTGAAATCATCTTGAGTTGCTTTGTTGCTTTTTTGCAATTTAAAGAGAGACTCTTTTCACTTATAACCTACCCTTCCATTTGTGTTATGCTGAAGAGAAAAAAAATATTATACCACCACAGCACTGGATTTATCTCCTAACCTCTTGTTTTATATCAACTGCAAATTATACCTATAAATTTTATCTGAATAGTTTTCTCTGAACTGAATGGTTCTCTGATTTTCAGACTATGTTTTATTTATTTTTATTTTTCAGGCACTAATTGTAAAGTAAGACTGCAAATTTTTGAGAAATATAAAGTATGTTTACACTAACTGCAAAGCAAGACTTTGTTCACATTAATTACAAAGCAAAGCTGCAATTTTTTGAGGATTGTAAACTTGTGAACTGAGGAGACAGAAGAAACCTAATTTTTCCTTCTCCATTGTATATAAGTATTATTTCAACATTAACTAATAGAGAGAGAAAAAGGCTAATCTGAGAGGAAGATCAAGTTTTAACAGAAGGCTATGTGATTTAGGGCAAAAAACTAATTTTTATCAGAAGGCTGTTTTGCTTTGGTATATTGAAGTGTAATTTCAACATTAATCACAAGAGGGAGCGAAAGATTTTTTTTTACCAGAAAGTGTTTTTTTTTAAAAAATCAGAAAAATCAAAAATCAGAATTAAGAATTAACTCTTTGATACAGATAAGATTGTTTTATAAAGATTCAGTTTGCTTGCTTCTTGTTGAATTGTAAATAGTACCACAAAAGAAAAACCATAGTATTATGAAGACATGGAAAAAGAGGCTAGCATTGTAGTTACTTGCAGTGGGTGCAATATGTTTGTATTCCTGCCCATCTGCCTCAAATGTAAATTGTTATTACTTGAAGAAAAACTGAAGAGTCTAGGGACAAGGTTAGCCACTCTGAAACCAGTCATCATTGACGAACATAATGAACTTCTAGTAAAGGCAGAGATCTGTATCCAAACCGGACACAACAAAGAAAAAGTAACTATCAAGAAACAGGAAAGGCGATGGTAGCATGTCACTCAAAGGTCAAAAATCTGAAAAGGTTGTTCCTGCCATTTTAAAGCCTCCATCTGGAAAGAAAATATGCAGACACATGGAGAACTCTGTCAAGTGGTCCAGTGACAGGAAATAAAATAGTTTAGACTCCCTTCCCCCCCCAAAAAAAATAAAGGCATGGGTGGGTTAATGATCTATTACTCACTACTCAGCCAAACAGTAAACTACTGTTGACTACATTGAAAGAACTTTGAATTTTTGGAGCATAGTTTACATTATCTATCGGAAGAGCTTCTGGCAAGAAGTGGGCTGCATCCCACAAGAACCAGGAAGAATACGTTTGGAAAAGATCTGGCTTTATTCATCCAAAGGGTTTTAAAGAAAACTGGAAGGACCAATCTTTAAGCATAATCCCCAAGACAACCAATCAGACAGTGATAAAGGGAGTGGTGAAAAGGTCTGGGAATTTAGGTATAAAATAGGACATAGAAAACAAACAGCATATCAGTCTTAAAGGGCTCAGATGCCTATACACTAATGCTCAGAGTTTGGATAACAAATAGGGAGAACTTGAAGTTTGAATGTATGTAGATAAGATATTACCGGTATCACTGAAACCTGACAGGAGGGAATCCATGATTGGAACATAAGGTTGAAGGATATAAATTGTTCAAAAGAAACAGAACCAACTCAAAAGATTGGGAAGAGTACCTTTGTATGTAGACAATTACTACACCCCTACAGAAATACAGAATATTAGAGATGAAAACCTTCTTGAAAGTATTTGGGTAAATATTAAAGGAAAAAGAAATGACATTGCCATAGGCATGTACTATAGGCATGTACTATTAACCAGGTGGACAAAATAGAAGAACCCTTTGCTAATCAGTTAGCTGAAGTGTGCAGGAAACAATCCATTGTACCAATGGGGGACTTTAATTACCTGTCATCAACTAATAAAATAAGAGACAAATTAGGAAGGAATCCATAAATGGAAATCCTAGAAGGAAAAATAGTTCAGGATGCATGAGACATTCTAATAATTGAAATACTAAAGCCAAAACAAAAACAATATCAGAGGAAGAAAAACAAAAGACCTCAGATGAGATCAACATGGTTGCCCAAGAGGTCTCTGACAAACTGAGGGACAAAAAAAATATAATAAATGGAAACAGGGACATATAACTACAACAGAATACCAGCAAATAGCTTGAACCTGCAGGGATGGAGTCATAAAGGTTAAAATTCAGAATGAAGACTTGCAACAAATGCCAAAAATAAGAAAAAAGTTTCTTTCAATAAGAAAGGAACAACAAAAAGTCCAGGAAATGACAAGTCTATTGATGGGATAAAATTGCAAGAAGGTAATAGGGAGCAAAGAGAAAGTAGAATTGCTTAACTCCTTGTTCGCAACTGTCTTTATGCAAAAGAAAAAAACAATAGCCCAACCTATCAAAAATAGCACAGGGGGAAAACAGAACAGGAATGCTGGTGAAAATGAATAAGAAATTGATAAAGGAATACCTATCCACTTTAGATGAGTTCAGATAACTAGGATTGGCGAACCTTTTCAGCACCAAGTGCCAAAACGGGAGTGAGCATGTGAGCGCGTGCACCTGCGTGCTGGAAACTGAAAGAGCAGATGAACTAGTTTCCGGCATGTGCATATGCACTGGCCAACTGGTCTTCTGGTTTCTGATGCACATGCGTCTGTTGTTCTTCTGGGTTCTGGTGTGCCAACCATTTGGTCTTCGCACATGCATACATGCCAGAAACCAGGTAGCAAAGACCAGGTAGCTGGCACGCATGCACACTCCGGAAACAAGAAGATCATCTTTCTGATGTGCACATACACACTTGGTGGCCGCTCTCCTTGCTTTTGCGATGCATGCATGTGTGGAGACCAGCTGGCTGGTGTGCCGGAACCCGGAAGAACACGGGCAATGGCTCGCGTGCCATTTCCGGCACACGTGCCATAGGCTCGCCATCACGGAACTAGGACCACATGGGTGTAAAAAGTACTGAAGGAGCTGGCAAATGTGATCTTGGAACCCTTGAACAAAATCTTTCAAACTCTGGTATGCAAGGAAACTACCAGAGGATTGGAAAAGAGGTGATATGGTTTCATATCAGATTGAAAAAAGTGAATCCAGGAAACTACAGTCAATCAGTTTGATATCAATACCTGTGAAAATCCTGGAAAAAATAATAAAGTAGCAGATCTATAAACATCTAAAAATGAACAAAGTGACTAGAAACCAGAATGGATTTCTTAAAAACAGATAATACCAGACAAATCTCATTGCTTTCTTTGATAAAGTGATTAAATTAGTGAATCGGGGAAATGCTGCGGATATAGTTAACTTGGATTTCAGCAAGACATTTGATAAAAAAGACCTCTATCCTACTTAGTGGGATAAAACAATATGGGATAGACAATACCACCACCAGATGGTTTTGCAGTTGGCTGGCAAACTGCCCCCAGTGTGTAGTTCTCAATGAAATAACATCTACCCAGTGGGAAGCATGCAGTGGAGTACTTTAAAATTCTGTCTTGGGTCCAGTGATCTTCAATATCTTTATAAATGATCCTAGATAAGAGGTTAGAAGGGAAACTTGTCAAATTTGCAAGCAAAATCAAGCTTTGTGGGGGGAGATTGTGAATGCTTTGGAAGATAAAGATTCAGAAGGACAATGGGCCCTATTCAATAAGATCTATTGAGGTGAGAAAAGGAACATCCTGTCCTTAGGGAAATACACAGGTAGAGAATAGACAGTATCCGGATCAACAATTGTTAACTGTGAGAGGGATTTGATATACTAGTGGACCATCACTTAAGATGAGCCAGCAGTGTGCTACAGCAGCCAAAAAAGCTAATGCAATCCTCACCAGTGCAATACAATCAACAGAGGGATAGTATCAAAATCACATGAAATTATAGAATGACTTTATATTGCACTGGTGAGATCACACTTGGAACACTATATCCGGCTCTAGACACTATGATACAAAAAAAGATCCTGAGTTCTAGAAAGACTGCAATGAGGAACAATAAAGATGATCAGGAGCCTAGAGACTAAACCATATGATGAACTTGGTATATCTAGCCTAACAAAAAGTAGGATTAGAGGTGACACAATAGAAGTTGTCTACCAATATTTGAGGAGCTGTCCCAGAGAAGACGAGGTTAACTTATTCTTCAAAGCACCTGAGGGCAGGACTAGAAGTAAATGGTGTAAGCTTGTTAAAGAGATGTCCAACCTGGAAGTAAGAAGAAATTTCCTGTCACTAAAAACAACTAATCGATGGCGCAACTTGCCTTTTACAATTTGAGTGCTCCATCATTGGAGGTCCTTAAGAAAAGATTGGGCAGCCATGGAATATGATCTCCTACTTTCCAGGTCCCTTCCAGCCCTGATTCTATGAAATGAACAATTGCATGACATAAACCATGTCTCCAATTCTGTGCATCTCAATATCTACCTGATACTGCTGAGGAACTTTGATGCTGAGGTGTTACCAATATACTGATGAAACTCAAATTATTATTCTGTACCCCTGCCAGGTAATGGTTGATAATGGAGTGGCTCTCCAAATGCCCATGCGCAATTGGGAATGAAAAATTATTTTATATACAATAACCACAGCAAGAAGGTGGAAGGACTAGCAGTATCTAGAAGAATGGATGGTTAAGACTCATGGAATTGGCAGAATGGCAAAATTGACAGCTTTGGTTAAAGAAAAGAAAAGCAGTTATATTTCTACTGTACTTGGAAGCCAATTTTAGACTTTTGAGAAAAAAGAGAGAAATGCAAATTTGATTTTGGGATTTGATGATTAGAATTGTATGGGATTACAGAAGAAATATAGACAATTGTTAATTTTAGACTAATTGTTGGATTTTTATGTACATTTTGTACCAAAGAAAGTTGGAAGCCATGCTTTTTGCCTTTACTTGTTCCTTTCTTCTTTTCTTCACACTTTTTCTTGATTTTTGTCTAGTTCTTTCTTTTCTATTTTTCTTGCTTGTTTAGTTTTTATTCATGCTTCTGAAATTTAATAAAATCATATTTTTAGAAAAGAAATAAAGGATTCAATACGCTGAAACAGAATCAAAGCAAAATGAAAGTGCTTTTTGTGAGGTTTCATAATTTCAGGAGATAGTAGTAGGTCTACCAGTTGCAAATGTGGTTGTATAATCCCAAAACAGCTAACGGAGATACATTCTCTTTCCACGCTGCAGCAATGGCCGGGGCAGCCATTTAGTTAATGATTCAGTGAATGTTTCCATTGCATCCTTTCTTGGAAGATGAACTTAGAACAGAGCTAGTAGGACTGATAACCTCTAGGCTTAATTCTTGCATGTACTCTGTGTGGTGCAATTTTTGGATTCAAGAAAGTCTGGACTTAAGAAGAATTCCGAATAGTTCTGTATTAAGATACTACATTGGCTGCCAGTTTCTTTCCAAAAGTGCTGGTTATTGCCAGAAAAGCCCTATATGGTCTTAAATAAAAATTATTTGGGAAGACTTTCTTCTTTATAATTTTCTCAACTTCATCCATCATAATTTAAAGCTGAACTTTCTCTGGTGCTACTGCTAATTTTGGGGAAATTTTGGAAAGGATATAACTGATCTCTTGTCACCTGCAGTGATGTCCTACTGGTAAAATATATGGCAATTTGGCAATCAGATTTCAGCTATGCTTGTAAAGGGCTAAGCATTGTAACAGAAGTAACAAATACTTAGGGAAAAAAATCATTAGAAAAATAAATACTAGTAAAGACAATAATAATCTAAGGAAATTGATTATTGATAAATCTCTTCCCTTGTACCAGAACAGAGGTACTAGTTTAAGTGCATTTTTCTTATATATTTTCAGTCATTTTATTTCTGACTCCATATGAAACAGAATTCATTACCTGGCAAAGGTAACTGGACTAATATGCCACTGACTCTTGAATTCTTGTTTAATTTGCCAGTAAGATCTAAAAGTTCTTCTTGAGAAATTTCCTTGGGCCTCAGTATTATTTCACTACAAATGCCTAAAACAATCCACAAAAGAAATATCCTTAGCAACAATGGTTTTGCATTTTGCCTCTTGCAAAATTTGCTACACAAATCAAATTATGTACTTCCACATTTAATGGCACTATTAATTATCTTCCTTTGTTCTAAAACAGGTAAAACACATGCATACACCGCTTAATTATCTAGGACATATGTAGGCAAACTGGAACTGTTTAAATCTCTTTTCTGAAACACAATTTACTAAAAATTAAAGGAATGGTTTTCCTAGGAGCCTGAAGGAAGAGAAGGCGGGGGAGGGGGGGAGAGCAACAAAATGTACCCTGTACAAACTTTTCTGTGAGAGTGAATCAGCTTGAATTATGTTATGACATATGTTTAAAATGTTGGCATCATTGCAATCCTGATTGGGTGGGTTTTTTTGAGAAATATATGAATTTAGACATCAGTGAATGGGTCAGGCTACTTGTCTAATCCCACTGGAATTGGCCCACCTCACCAATGCTGGCAGAGGAAGCATGCTGCAGATCCCATCAGCCTGATTATTCTGGCTGGGACCAGCAGAAGGGGCTTCTCTGCCCTTGCGCCTGACCTGTGGAACATCTTGTCCCCTGGTGTAATCTTCCAGAAGATCCTAAAGACTCTGGCTCTGTTTGTTAGCTTTGGGCTCCAATGGGGGAAGCATCACAGTGAATGTGGTTGATCAATTAACGACAGATCCCATCTCCCTCCCCATCTTGCTCCTGCCTTCCCCATTTTTTAATTGGGCTGTAGTGTTTGGCTTTTGTATTAAACTTACTTATGCTTTCAGTTTGTATCGTTTTTAGTTTTTATTATTGTAAAACAGCCCAGAGTTACCTTGAGGTAAGATGGGCAGCCTATAAAGTTTATTAATAAATACATAATAAAATAGGCATCATACTGTAATGGTACATAGGAAGGACTTTGGAAGGCCTGCAGAGAGATGCTAAGAAACAGGTAATGGACAGAAAATGAGACTCAGAAAAAACCCTCTCCCCCTTCTCAGGTTGCAAAGGATATGGCAGAAGTTTTAGACTTGCAAGATTGTATTAATGTGGCCTTACAATAAAGTAGAATAAGCTCCATCGTGCCATGTCTCCTGTCTCCTTCTTCTTGGTAAGGCCGATATCAATCTTGCCCTACCTCACTCAAACCTTATGAAAATATTGTCCCTGAATAGGTGTGTTGGCTCTCCTGCTTTGCATCACTGCCACATCCATTGAAGCCTCACTCTTAAAAAAAATTGTATGCCAGTAACATATTGTATATATTATAAACAACCTGGGTTGGCAATGTACAAGCTCTATTTTTTTTTTTAAAAAAAGTCATACCTACGGCTGCTGCTGCTTTTACTTTATTTCTTACATAAGTATGGCTAGCTGAGTTTTCTCCTACTAAAACAACAGTGAGATGAGGTCTCTTGTGGCCAAGGGTAAGCCATGATTCAATATCTCTTTGTATTTCCTCACAGACTTGTGCAGCCAGCCTTCTCCCTGAGATAACAGTTGCTTCATTCCTATAAGAGATAAAATGAAAACTTTAAGCAGAATCCATCTAAACTTTTACAGCCAAGAAAATTACATTATAGCATTAATCACACTTTAAAACATACAAAGTGTGTTTTATTGCAGCACATTTAGTTGTTGGAGAATTCATGTGAACATTTAATATTTGAGTGGAAACTGATTTAATATTAAAATATACATAGGAACAAGACTTTTGGAATGGCAAATTCCTCTATCCTGATCCTACATCTTCTGAAGATTGCCCCTTTAGCTTTCAAATTCAGCTAGGGCTTCATTCTGCTAGTGTTTTACAAGTGCCTAACAAACTATTGGTTAATGCAACATCCCTGAGTGAAATGAGTCCTTTTTCATAGATAAAATTATTAGCATAGCAATATAGAATGCTTTGAAAATAACTTTCTAAAGAATTTTATAACTTACATTTCTAGCAATTATTATATTCTAATAATATCCACAAAATAAAAGTTGGAAGGAAAGGAAATAAGATGTAGGAATTGGAAATAGCAGTTTGTTACAATTGTAGTAGAGTTGATATGTTGAGGGATAGTATTCAGCAGAATTTGGTATTAATAAAGGTAGTCAATTTAATGAAATGCTAAAGGCAGTCTCAGAAAAGTGAAGCAGAGAATGTATTTGTGCTTGAAGAAGAGGGTATAGCATTGGTTCAAGCCTCACTTGATGATTAGACTTTGTGATGTAGTTAAAAAGAACAGCATGAAGAAGGCTGAAAAATATGTTCTAAGACTAAGAGGCTGAGTGCCATTGAAGTATTCTGCAAAAGAAGCAAAAGATTAAGAGACAAACCTCTGGCTAAAATCTAGATTGTAAAGAAGAGTCCAGAAGCCCTGGATCCTGGATGGATCCTTTCTCAAATTTTGAGGGTGTCAGAGGATTGAGAAATACTATCAAAACTAATCAAATTTCATTATAAATAAGGCAAGATGTTTAATCATTATTTATTGAACAAGCTATCATACCTAGGTTCACAAATATTACTTCATAATGGATAGACACTAAACCTCAAATAATTAAGCCACATTATGACTTACTAGCTTTACAGAGACTTATGTAATTATTATGGGATTTGGAAGCAAGGAGTACTTCAGACATCTCTCTGGTTGATATATCATCATATGGAAAACAATATAACTGTCAGTCGGGAATTTGTCAGGAATTAATTCTTTTAAATGATATTGTGTAAGGAGATGATGGATAGCAATCTTATTCCGAATGCTGCCAGAATGCACATATTAAATGTATAATATGTGCATTGTGGCAGCATTCCGAATAAGATTGCTATTGAGGTTACCCATTCAGCTAATTTACTTATAAGAAAACCCAATATCTTTCAGTTTTGCAAGCATTATTATTTTTAGTTTTATTAATTTTTAATGTATTTAAGTACATTTTGAATTCCTTCTACCATACAGATGGCAGAATATTTATGGATGTAATTCTTTACAGATATGAAATAAGCAATCAAGCAATGTCGAAGATACACACTCTTCCATGAAAATCACAACATGAATGTTGACATGTATAAATTTATTAATAGGTTTGCTGCTTTTAATGTAATCAAAATCAATTAACATATTGAGAGTTTCTGGCTATTTCTATAATGCAACTTTTAAAATGTGAAATGCAAATGTTATTGATAATTATTTCGAGGGAGATATTTTTGTCTAAATAAATTAAATACTTAAGAACTTAATTAGCTGCAGTATCATGTTTATTGAAACAAAAAAAATGAGTTAAAAACATCTATGGAAAAATACCTTTTATTATCTAAATTTATTACTTAACAGCATCTCTTTGATTCATAATGTAAATGAGTTTAAGGGGCATGGGGGAAGCAGAGAAGCCTGAATTCTGAAGATGGAATCTCTTCTCTCTGATGCTCCTAGAAGAGAAAAGAGAAACCAGTAAGCATAGGCACACTGACTCGGGTTTTTCCCAGCCATGTCCCATAATTCATCTTCATAACTGGATGATGTGATTGATAAAAATTCTGCCTTGAAAGCTGCAGAAGCTCCGAATCTACTGAATACACCAAAGCTAAGCTATCATACCAAAACAGGAGAAGTTTTCATTTTTATTTAGCTGCTCCAACTGGCAAAAAGACTGAAGAACAAGCTATCAAATAGTGGTGCATTGGTAAATTGCATGGGCTTTTAAAGCCAGAATGATATCTTAGTATGATATCGTAATAGCAATTTCAAAACATGCCTGCATGAGGTGACCAATATTAATTAGTTGTATTGTGGTACCAAATATCAGGAGAAATCTGGTAGCACCTTTTCTGACTAATATATTTTATTGAAAAGCATAAGGTTTTATGAAATGCAGCTCACTTCAACAGATGCATAGACTAAGCTGCATGTCAGTTCATCAGTAGCTAAACTGAGATAGGATTTAAACTAAAATGAATAGGGGTAGGACAGTAATGGAGCAAGGGACAGATTGGCAATGCTACAGTTGAAACAGATTACGTATTTATCGATTAACTTTTGTGATGTGTTAATTACATTTGTTGAAATATGTTGAAGCAATTTGAAATCTTTTGCTGTTTATGAATTCAGGAATATTTTGCTGTTAAAGAGTGTTTCCCCCCAAAATGGTAACTTTGAGAATGGCAAATGGTGATCTAGATTATTGAAATACCGGGGTAAATGATAAAATGGGGTTGAGAGTACGTGGGTTTTTATTCTTTGGGGCTTTGTGATTGAGATGTCTGTTCCTGTTTAATAATGTGTCCTTTAATATTTTAATGGCTGCTGCCAGTTTTCTATGGGGTCATGTAGGGGGTCATGGCTGGCACTTCAGGCAAAAGGGGAAATGGAAATCCTAGCTGTTTGTCTGAGCTAATCTTGTCAGCTTGCCTAATTGTGTTGCTTATTTGGAGTCTCTGCTTATGAATAGATTGGCCCAGTCTTTCTGAATGGAAACAAAATCTCCATTCCTAAAAGACCCGGCCTCTTCAAGCTTCTGCTTGAGGTTGTTTTCCTATGGCAAGAAGACTGAGGCTGTTTTCTGCCTATATTAGGATTTTTTTTTCCCTCCACTTCTCCTTTAGGGGAAATATTCTATCCTGCCTCTTTTTAATATTAAGAAGAATATTTTAATCTGGGGAGGGGGCCTTCCTACATGCCCTTATGACTGACTGATCCCAGGGACACTGCAGGACACCCCCACCTCTCTTCCCTCATCCTGCTTTGCCCAGATCCTGCAGCGCTTTGGCCTACCCCCATATCACTTATCTTTTGAAGCTCTTCAAACCTCATGTTTGGGAAGAAATGCAAACCATGTGTCTCTGGACCACAAGGCAGCAACTTCAATTTAGCTGCCCTCTTTTTTCCACCTGCTGGTGGACAAGGAGAAAATGGCGGCCGCCATACAAACTGCTTTGTTTTTTTCTGCTTTAACAGGCTTCATAGCCACTACGGAAGCTTCTGAATACCGCAGGAAGTTTCTGCAGCATTCTGCAGATCTTGTTAAGGCAGTAAAACTAAAGGCCGCATCATGACAACCTAAACACGGCCATCATTTTATCCCTGACTACTTGTGGGCGGGACAAAATGGTGGAAGTCAGACAAATAGACATATAGTACTAGGTTTTCATTTTTTCAGTTTGTTTTCAGAACTTAGGAAACCTGGAAGAAGCCAAGAAAATACTGCTGGGCAGATTGACAACTACAATCATCATGGGGATTTGGGTAGTGTCATCATGGCATTGTTTTTTTTTTAATTCTATCATCACCGTAATTCTCACAAACAGTAAGAAGCTCCAATACAGATTCTGCTTGTTTTCAAGTATTGAAAACTTTGATATCATTTTGCTCCTATTTTGACTCGTGTTAAACTTGTGTATATTCTCTACTGGGCTCTGTGAAATGTAGTCGGCAACTGCTAGCTGGGAGACCCTACGGCAGGGGTGTCAAACTCAAAGCCTGTGGATCAGATCCAGCCTGAGATGTAGTTGGATCCGGCCTGCAGGGCCGTCCCAGTCTACCTGCATTGCTTCGGCCCAGTCTACCCAATGCAGAGAAAAAAGATCAGGCCAGCAAAGCTTCAGCCCGGTTCACCTGGTGCGAAGAGGAAAGGTCAGGCCAATGTAGCTTCAGCCCAGTCTACCCAATACAAAGAGGAAATATGCCAGCAATTTGGGGAGTGGTGTCAAGCTGGCCACGCCCACCTAGTGAGCCACATCCACCCAGTCAGCCATGCCCCCCTGGCCTCCCGAGTTCAACCACAGCTCTGATGCAGCCCTCAATGAAATTGAGTTTGACACTCCTGTCCTACAGAGTTAAGCCACCCTGGAGGAGTGGTGAAGAAAGGCGAGGTGCTTCATCGATTGTGAGGAAACCGCAGTTTCCGAAGAAAGCTCTCCTGATCAGCAGCAGGGATAACGGCCATTTTTTTGTCACAAGCTGGGACAACTGGGACACTAAGATTTTGTGCTAGAGCGGTGTGTGGACAGAGCAGTGAAACTGGGTGATATAATTTCCAACTGTTACCTTAGAAGACTAACCGAAGTAAGAAGTTCCAAAAAATAATCTCCAAACCTTAAGAAATTGATGATTGGATTTATGGAAAAAGTTTAAAGATTAAAAATTAAAGAGGAAGAATTAAAGACATAGAAATAAAAGAAAAACCTAGAGGATTATTTAAAACACAGAAAACTTGGAAAAGATGAATAATGCTGTGAAAAGTGATTATTGGGAGAAATTGCTTTTCTGAAATTTAATCTCTAACCCCCTCGGCTGGACGCAAATCAGCTGTTTTCTAAACTCCTTGAATGCTGGATTAGGGAGCAGGGGAGCCACCTAATGGAGGAAGACTACTGCAACATGTAAAATCCAAAGGAAAGTGAAAAGAGAGAAGGTGAACAATATCTGGAAAGCTACTTGACCTTGATTTGTTCTTTAGTAGGCGATTTGGATGCTGGGAAATATCTACTGAGCTTTCTGAAGGTTTATAAAGTAAATCAAAG